TGTATTTTTAGTAGAGACGGAGTTTCACCATGTTGACCAGGATGGTCTCGATCTCTTGACCTCGTGATCCACCCGCCTCGGCCTCCCACAGTGCTGGGTTTTTGGATTTTTTAATAGAGATGGAGTTTCACCATGTTGGTCAGGCTGGTCTCGAACTCCTGACCTTGTGATCCACCCGCCTCAGCCTCCCAAAGTGCTGGGATTACAGGCGTGAGCCACCTTGCCTGCCTCCACCTGCATTACTTAACAGGCCTGGAGTTAAGAGTTTGGTAGGTGAACCATGATGGGTGCTACAACCTGGACAGTACGCAATGTCAGGTTTCGAAGGAGTTGGCCGCAGCTGAAACCACTGGAGGGTTCTAAACTGTGAGGCAACAGGATCTCTCTGCCTCCCACGCTGAGAATAGGCTAACGAGAGTCAGAGCAGAAGCAGGGAGACTGGCATCTGGGCAGAGATGATGGCACGGGAGAGCTGGGTGGGGGTGATGGAGGGGAGGAGAATCAATCTATCTTGCATCTGTCTTGAAGGTAGAGTCACTGGGGTTTGCTGATGGGTCAGGCATGGTCCTGGACCTCCCCAGATCCTCCGTGCCCCTGTAAGGAGTGGTCCTTTCTCCCACAGTGGGGCTCAAGCTCACACAGCATTCACAGGTCTACTGACCTGCCCCAAGGACAGAGCCCCATGTGGATGGCATTTTCCCAACATTTAATTAGGAAAAAAACATTCCATGAACAAAGAAAAACTCATGCAACTAAAGAGGCGAGAATGGGGGGTCCGGGACCGTGAGACGGGGCCAGATTCCTCAGAGGAGGCAGAAGACACGGAGCAGTAAGGCACAGCCGCCTTGGCCCCTTGGGGCGGGCATGGGACGGAGCAGGCGCTGTGTGTGTGGCTGAGAAGGGAGTCCGGGCAGCTGCAGACAACACTGACGGCGTTTGGCAGCAGGCCCAGGAGGAGCGTTCTAGGGCCTCCAGGCCCATCAGGCCCTGGCACACGCCTGGGTCTAGCCCTCCAGGTGCTCACAGAAAACAGGGCCTCAAGATGCTGAAGGGGGACCCTGTGGCCCAGTGTGGCACAGCCACAATTCTGAGGAAGCTTTGGAGGCCTCAACCCAAGTGCTGCTGGTACTGTGGCCCTGCCTCGGAGTGGGTGGGGTTAGCCATGGCGAGGATGAGGTGCCAGGGCCGGACCGAGACTGATAATGCCTCACAAAGGAGCCAAAGACGGGTGGCCGGGCCCAGAGAGCTCAAGGAGAGGCAAGTGAGTGGGGGACACGTATTTACAGATGGAGATGGAGACGGAGTTTGAGTCAATAAATAGGCAGAGGAGTATAAATAGCAGGGAGGGTGGGGCTGGCCCAACACCTGGGCACAGGCCAGGAGGGTGGGGGTATTGCTGCTGCTGGGTGGAGGCTCGTCCTGTCACCCCTCCCCCTGCAGGGCCCAAAGCAAGGCACTAATGAAGGGGGCCTGGGTGTGCGAGGGGGCATCCTGGCCAGGGTGACCTGCCCCACGATACCCAATTTAGGGCTCAGCCCAGGGACCCAGGCTTGAGCCAGCCACTCCCCTGGATGGGAGGACAGCTCAGGACTGAGAAGCCCCCTCCTCACCAATTCCGCAACCTCAGCTGTTGCTGGACACGAGGCTGATGATCTGTTCTAGTTTCTGCCGCAACTTATGCTTCCGACAAGACGCATCTCCGTCCAGAGCCGTGAGAATCTGGGGAAGAGGGGTCCCTTGGAGCTGTGCTCTTCCCTCCCACATGCCTCACCCCTCTATCCTCCCCTGAAGCCCACGTACAAGCCCAGCCCAGCAGCTTCTCAGCCCCCAATGCCCCCCAACGACAGCACTTTCTCCTCCTCTTCCTCACAGCTAGGGTGTGGCCTCTCCCTAGAGTGACCTGGACTCTGGACTCACCATGCGGGATTCCCCCTCCCCATTCCCTTCCAGCCCAAGCCTCCCTTGCGAGGCCCCCACGACCCTCGCCAGACCCAGTGAGTGTTCTGTAGGTCACCATCCTTCACCAGCAGCAGCGCTGGACAGACACAGCTGGCCGCTGCTCCTCCCTGA